TCATTGTCACATCAAATAAATATCAAAGGCATAAAGCCCAAAAGTTGTGTTCATCACTTTGGGAGGTATCATCCTAAAGCTATCATCCCACTATTTATTAATTACAATCACAAACAATCATCAAAATTCAATCATATCATATTTGAAAATTTCTTCTTTCAATATATTCGTTGCTCAGGGTATCATAACTTTTCATATTTATTCAAGGATATAACAATTCAAATCTTCAACATTTATCATAGTAAAATCCAAATCCCCGCTCATCATCATAACTTTCTAATTTATTGAAGGATATAAATAATCCCCGCTCAAATCTTCAACATTCATCATAGTAAAACCCAAATCCAATCATCGTCATTCAAATAATCCCATCACATCAATTATCATAGTTATTAATAATATAAATATTCAAATTCAATCATAAAACACATATTTGGAAAGTTTTTCTTAAAAAGTATTATAATTTCATAATTTTCATAATTATTCAATAAGATCCATATATTGCACATAAATTAATTTTTATGCACATAATCATAATTTCCAAAATAGTAAAGTTTTCCAAAAATATTCTAATTATTAGATGTAGTAATTTAAATTTAAAAATTACCTAAAAAAATGTTCATACAGAACTAACCTAAGAACATCTAGGGATTAGGATTACGTCATAACAAATTTTATATCAAGCTACCATATGACTTTAGAGATTAGGATTACATTAAACCAAATTAAATATAATCTCTGAGAACTTAGGGATTAGGATTACATATATCACACATATAACTACCTAAAGATTAGAACACACCCAATAAAATTGCATACACAACAAATCTACAACCACCTAGGGATTAGGATTACCTGGTCTCCGTGTTTGATGACTTCTAGGAGGAAAAGCAATTAGAGAAGAGAAGCGGTTGTGACCAAATTAAAATAAAAAAAAAAATTTGAGGTAAGAATAGAGAAGCAGAGGAGAAGAGGAGAAATACTGAGTATTGAAAGTGAATTGATTTTGTTAGGCTAGGTCTCTATTTATAGCTGAAATTTTGGGCTCGGATATGAGTTTCGTGTATTTATTTCCTTATTATTCATTGATGTATCTGGCTCAGAGAGATAATTAGGGTTGGGTAACTCCAAAAAAAAAAAGATATTGGCTTCATACACTATTTTTTATTCTTAATTTCTTATGGCTCAGAATATCACTAACTCATTACTGACTCATTATTGACTCAATGTTGACTCATCATATCTAATCAAATTACTAATCAAACATTACCAATTAATGCATAAATGACCAATCAATTAATAATTCAAATAATCACAATTTATCACACATTATTATTATTACTGCTAATTCATAATTTATTTTTATTATTATTAATTTATTGTAATATAATTTACTATTATTTTCCAGGGATATTACAGTAATCCTTGCACGTGACAATAAATTCCTCGAGTTTTCCTGCTCTGATTAGCGCCTCAATGGTGTTTTTCAGGTCATAACACTCTTTTGTTGTATGGCCAACATCATCATGAAATTCGCAAAATTTGGATTCATCATGTCATCCATTTTTCTTTAGTGTCGGAGGTTTTGGGACATTAACAAAACCAGCTTGAAAAACACCCTTCAAAATGCGCCTTCAGGAAGCATTGAAAGGAGTATAATTTTCAAACTTTTCCTATTTTCTTTTTTCCTTAAAACTCCTTTGAAAATATTTTTCAAAGTTATTAAGATCTGTTTTTATCCCGGAGTCATCACGAGAGCGCTTATAATATTCTAGATTAATAAATTTTTCAGATCGTGCTCTTAGGTCCTCAATAGTTCGTGGACGGTGTTTTGCCAAAGACATGAAAAATGGACCGTCTAACAGACCTTCAATAATAAGATGTAAAGAAACTTGAGGATCTAAATCCTTCACCAAAAGAGCCTCATCAAAGAATCTGTTGAGGTAATGGCGCAAAGTTTCGTGCGCACCTGGCCTAACTGTTTTCAAGGCATGAGTTGATTTATATTGCACTTTGCTGGTAGCAAACCATATAAGAAATTGGTTTACGAGATCTTTCCAACTATGAATTGAATTCAACGGCAAGGCAGAATACTATCTAAAGGCTATTTCCTTCAACGTTGTTGGAAACAGTCAACAGGCAATTGAATCAGAAACATCTTGTGCTTTCATATTGGTTTGAAATTGCTCCAAATGTTCTTAAGGGTCTCCATTCCCGTTATATTTTTCTGTAGTAATCTTAATATCCCTTGGGATTGGTAAGCTCATGACCTGGGAAGTGAAAGGATGCAGAACTCGAGAGACTGCTTTGGAATTTTCCTGCGAATTTTCATGTACTTCTCACTCCTCCACTTTTTTTTTATTTTCATCTGAAGGACCAGGATTCTTTTTTGAACATTCAGGTCTTGGTTCACTCTCATCATATTTTCTATTTCTTCTTCAATTTTTTTCTCTGTTTCTTTTTCTTTTTCTCTGATTTTTTCCTTATCACTCTGTAATTTTTTTATCGAGCTAAATCTCGATTTTGCTGAGAATTTTTCTTATTTTGCTGAGTGATGAGTTCCAACAATTGTTGAGTGGTAGGTGGATTTTCATTACGTACTGAAATCGGAGCAGCTGATTAAGCTGATTTCTCACGTGAAGTTTGTACTCCGGTATTTCCTCTTTCCCTTAGAACTGTTTTGCGATTTGCTTCTGGTATCAACCATATTTTTTAATTTGAAAGAGAGTGAGATTCAAAATTTATCGTCCCCACAGACGACAACAATGATCAGACCAATCCAATACGAGTTGGGCTAAATCATACATGGTTGAAAGTTGAAAACTTTTAGGCTGTACGTTGTAATTTATGGGCTTGATGTGATTCTTGTATATGTGTGGACAGTTGAATAATTCCAGCGCAATGGAAGAGACTGGGGGTTTCCTGCAAAGACACTCTTACGCTCAAGTCAGTATCGATGCTAGGTTTATGTTCTATTGAATGGGAATAAGATAATCATACATGGTTTTGCACCCTTCGTACTTATTATAGTAAGCTTTGTGCCGCCTTTGGTTGGCGGCATACTTTCTTAATGGTTGTTATGGACTGCTGCCTTTCTGTCTCAGCTAGTGCCTTTCTGGCTATTTTCTTGGTGAACAAGTCTATATAATAGCCTGTCTCCCTAGAGTGGTGACAAGCTAGAGTTGACTTCTTTGTGTTGGCCTTTGTGCGCAGTGGAGCTCATCTTGTCATAAAGCCTTTCCTTAGCCTTTAAGTTTATATAGGGAAGCTTAATATTACAATCCACGCAATGCTTAGTTCATGTATATTGCGCTATGAGATCATTGTGCCTCTTGGGCCTTTTTTGGGCTTTAAATTTCATGGGCCTATACATTTATACAGATCAACAATCATTCATAATGCCTCACTAAAATCTCTAGGTATAAACACAATCATCTTCCTTTATCCTAATTAATTAATGAGTTTAGTGTTTGTCATTTTAAATGACATAACTTTGTGTCATTTTTAATGAAACTACGTCGTTTTGGTGTGTTTTGTCATTTTTTATAATTTATGAAATTAGAAATAAAAAGAAAATGGAGGAGAGAGAATGTTAAAACACACCAAAACGACGTAGTTTCATTAAAAATGACATTACTTTGTGACATTTAAAATGACAAATATTTTTCCCTTAATTAATTATTATAACCTGTGAAACACGGACACGTGTTTTTTGGGGAAAAATGCGTGTCCGACACGTGTCGGACACGGACACGTTAGGACACGTTCGGACACGCGTCCGACACGTGGTCAACTTTTTAGGACACGTTGACTAGGGGGACACGCGATTTTGACCGAATCTGACACGCGGTCAACGTATTTGGACACGTTTTGGGACACGTTTTGGCATTTTTTATTAAAAAAAAAAAAATTACAATTTAAAAAAAAATAAAAATATTTAATAAAAAATAAAAACTTTAGAACCCTTTTGTCTTCGGTCTTCGTCACGACGGTGCTTCCGACTCCTCTTCTTCGTCACTTAGATGTTTTTCCATGGCTGAAATCGATGCCTCTGGCGCCGGAGTACAGGCAGAGTGTGGCGAAGTTCCAAGATCCAACTGGTTATATTTTCAAGATTGAGAAGGAAGCTTCAAACTACAGCATCTGCAAAATCATTCCACCGTTTCCACCTTCTTCAAAGAAATCCGCCATCGCCAACCTGAACCGGTCACTTCCGAACCCTACATTCACCACTCGTGTTACTCATGCTGAAGGAATCCCAATGTTCTCCTGAACTGACTTGTGAAGTGCACTCAAGTGGAAAAGGGAAATCTTGCCCAAGCTATTCAAATTAGATTGGACCTATTTCTTTTCTTTTTTAAACCGATTGGACCTTTTTCTAACTCAGTTTCAGTTTTGTTTTTGTTTTTTTGCATATATGTATTAAATGTTCCGTCTCCCAATGTTCTGCTTTTAGTTTCATTTTCTAATTCAGTTTTAGTTTCGCTTTTTTTTTTTTTTTTTTTGTAAATATTAGTTTCGCTTTTTAGTTCCACTATATATTGAGGATAAATTAAATAAGAGATTAATGTATTTGTAGGATATTCGAAACACATAAATTCAATTTATTTTGTTTCTTTTGAATATTTAATTAGTTACGTGACTTATTATGAGTTGTTATATGTATTAAATGTAAATTATATTATATATATTAAAAATATTATTTAATATCAAAACGTGTCCCAGCGTGTCGAAATTTAACATTTTTTAAAATTAATGTGTCGAAGTGTCGTATCGTGTCGTGTCCCGTGTCCGTGCATCATAGATTATAACGTTTAGCATTGTCACTACGAGTAAAGGTCAAAGATTTGGAAACATGTACTCTCTTACAATTATAAGAATGCCTACAACAAATCCAGGTATGTGACATTTAGTAGCACCTTTTACATGTACATACACATGGTATAAATCAATGTCATGAAAACCCAAATAAGACCATTTAGCATATCAAATGTGCAAAGATGATTTCACGAGCCCGTTCTCTCGTTGTAACCACTCCAAACTCATGTCTGTTTTCATCATCACCAAAACCAAACAGAGACTCTGCTATTCTGGAAAGGCTACACCACAAGGACTGGTTAACCCCAAAAGAGGTAACCAACCTGGTTAACTCGCTGACTCACCCATCATCAGCACTCACACTCTTCAACCTCTACTCTTCCCGCAAGGACTATAACCCCACCGAACCTTTCTGCACCTCACTCATCACAAAGCTCGCACAAGCCAAACTCTTCGACCCAATTCACACCCTCCTCCAAAGACTCAAACTTGATCAAAACCCACAACAACGACGTCATTTTTCGGACGAGTTCTTCTTCACCCTCATAAGGGTCTATGCCCACGTGTTCAACCGCATTGACAGAGCCGTTGAAACCCTCTTCGACATGCCCAGTTTCGGTTCCTGGCCTAGCACCAGAACCTTCAACTCGGTCCTCAACATCCTCGTGAACGCGAAGCTGTACGAGGTTGCCCACGAGGTTTATGTCGCGGGGCCCACGAGGTTGGGGGTTGAGGTTGATGCATGTTCCTTGAACATTCTCATCAAGGGGCTTTGCGGGTGTGGGAAATTGGAGGATGCATTCAAGGTGTTCGATGAATTTCCCAAGATGGGGTGTGAGCCGAATTTGAGGACTTTCTCGACTTTGATGCATGGGTTGTGCGAGAGAGGGATGGTGGATGATGCTTTTGGGTTGTTGGAGAGAATGGAGAGGAGTGGGGTTTGTGCTGATGCTGTTGTGTTCAACATCTTGATTGGTGGGTTGAGGAAGCAGGGGAGGGTTGAGGAGGGGAAGGAGATGTTGGAGAGGATGATGGGGAAAGGGTGTTACCCCAATGAAAGTTCTTACCAGGAGGTTTTGTATGGGTTGCTTGATGCTCAGAGGTTTTGTGAGGCAAGGGGGGTCATGGAGAGGATGGTTTTGAAGGGGTTTGGTCCTAGTTTTGTGTCCTATAAGGTCATGATTAAGGGACTGTGTAAGAGCAATTTGGTTGGGGATGTTGATTGGGCTCTCAGGCAAATGGTGAAGCAAGGTTTTGTGCCCAGGATGGGAATGTGGAAGCAGATTGTCAAATGTGTGGTTTCACAAGAAACTGGTTCCGGTTGTGTTTCTTTTGATGGTATTTTGAACTAGGAGGATTAACTTCATGATGAATGAGTGTCTTCTACAGGAAAATTTCTTCGATACTCTATAACGAAAGTTCAGTATATCTTTTATTAAATTTGAAAAAAAAAACAAAATAGTATAAACGACTTTTATCATTTTATTCATCCTTTTATGGTTATTTTTACCTAAGTCTCACTTTTTCCTATTTTTAATAAAAGAGTAGATACTCCTATTACCGAAATATGTTTCTTCTACAAAGAAAACCTAAGAAATGCATGGATTAAAATGGAAAAAATAAAATAAAATCTTTTTTTATAAAAGGAAGTGCGGAATTCGGTATTCTCTTCCCTTCTACAGATGTGAATTCCTTAACTAAAAACATGATGCTCATCAAGCGTACTATGTTTCTGAACTCTGCTGATGATGACTGCTTGCAAAAGCAAGTGGAATGTTGGCATTCTCACAAAATCTTAGTCCAGTTTGTTCTTCAGTCTTTCAGAGAAATTACAGTCAGAAATGATTTAACATGTTCAGAAATGTATTACTTGCTTCGTTAGTATCACTCTTCATTCGAGTATGGCAAGATACCTAAAACTAAAAGTGCCGTCCTGAATAATTATATGTTCTCATTTTCAAGAGACGCCGTGGACCATTCAAAAATTGGTTAAAACTAGCTCTCTTTAATGCTGCTATATGAGGGCAAAATCAAATTGTAAATCTTTATTTTTTTTTCTTGTTTATGTAAAAGTTATTTACATGCTTATAAACTTCTATACTGAAAAAAAAATACAACTTCCCCAGCATCCGAAACATGACCATGTTCATGTAATAAGATCTATCACGATCACCAAAACTACTATAAACAGTAACCAAAATCTGCCCAGTGCTACAAAGCATCAACAAGGAATGGTGTACAAACAAACAAACATGAAATGCTGGACCAAATAGACAGTTGCCAAGGCATTCTTAAGCTGGACAAAAAGTAAACATCTCTTTTATCTGCCACCATTTCCTCTATCATGCTCTGGTTCAACAGATTTCACTAGACTTTCTAGGGTGGTCTTCAAGATGAGTGTTTTTCATTGGAGCCTTATTGTCCACGGAAGTGTTAGATGGAACTCTCTGAACCACATTCACCCTGGAATTAGGGGAACCATTGCTACATGAGGCCATGGGCTGGGAAACAACTTGAGTTCTTTCATCTCTGGGTGAATGAACTGAAAGAGATTCATCATCCGTAGAGTCATATTCATTTTCTCTTTGTGGAACTGCATGTGAGTCCCCTTTAGATTTCCTTGATCTACATGAAAGAACATGCTTTAAGCCACGAGCTGATTTTTCTGCTTGTTTCAAAATATTCTTTGCCATATCCTTGACATTTCCCTTGTTTGGGCTCTCAGAACCACTCCCTTCAGGTGATCCTCCTCCTTCTACCTGAACCTTACCAGTTGGAAAGCCAGAAATGTTGTCCTCCATCACAAACTGCAAATTAATCCCTTTGGAATCAACTGACCTAATGTTAGCATGTGGAGATGGAACTTCCTCTCCAATATAACCTGACTTATCCTCCTTTTTTTGACTCTTGTGAAATACTGCACCAATCTTGTGCAGGCCTCTCCTAACAGATTTCATTTTATGCTTATCTTCAGGATTTTCATCAGGACTGCTGCTGTCATTGTTCAAGGATCCAGATATTGCTGAATTACAGCTGCCAGCTGAATCATTAGGCTCGCATTGAATTTCTGTATCAAGGCGACGACTCTTCCCTTTTCTAGGCTCCCAAGTTTGGGAAACTTCACTTCCTGGCTGATGAACCCAAATTCCTGTCTCCTTTTGCCCTTCAACATCTATAGGCTCAAAGTTATCTGCCAGCTTTTGAGATTTTTCAGATGTAACAGATGAGAAGGAACTTTTATTAGTAGTCTCATTTGCAAAGGAACTTTTATTAGTAGTCTCATTTGCAAAGGAACTTTTTCTTTCTTCAGTGTCCACTGTTTCTTGGTCACGTGCAGTATCAACTCCCTGTACAGATAAAATTCAAAATTGAAATGAAACACCAACCACAAATCTAAAAACACAGTAGCAATTTGTTACATTTCATGCAGACTAGAACCATTTTTCATTTTTATCTGTATTCTGTTCTATTTATTATAATGCTTCTTTTTATTTAATATTGCTAAGTACCACTGTAATTGAGAGAGAAGTTACCTTTCCATCATCTTCAAGAATAGTAATTGCAAGATGCAACCTCCCAGTTTTTACGTTCTGAAGTGGCAGCCACATATCATGTCTTTGCCCATCCCTAAAATCACTGATGTTCACAGAACAGTCCCTGAAAAACAGTAAGACATTCAATTAGTCTCATGAATATATACAGAATAATTGGTAGGAAATCATGGGAAACATACACAATGAATAAAGGTAGCACAGACAGGAAGACAATCAATGACCAAACAAAGTGGTAGAAAAGAGGTTGAACCAAATATATAAGAAACATTGACATACTTGTGGAAAATTGAAACATTAAACAATCAGAATTCTGATTCAGTAAACCAATCTATGAAAATATATGGTGGACAGATATACAGATTCCGAAGTAGTATATGTTGCATCATCAATTAATTTCAGAAATTTTGGGAGTGGCAAGTCATGCAGTCTAACAGAAGCCAAAATTTTGGAAATATGAGAGAGCGCCAAATGGTTCTTTAATTGCCCCCTGGTTTCTAAGATCTTATCAAACACAGTATGCAAAAATCATTGTTATCAAATACAAAATAAATAAAAGTTGACATCCCAGTATGCAACCACACATACTAGTTAAAAGTATGTACTCAATAATAGTGAGATTGATATCATAATAATACAGCAACAAACAAGTCAGGATGAAGTTGATTCTCAGGAGAAAAAAATTTAAAATAAAGCAAATATATATTAAAGAAAACATCATATTACAAAATACAAAGTTTAGACAACAGAACAAACCCAAGGATATCATCATAGAAATGGTCCTTGTCACGAACTTCAATGGCCAGTGTATTGCTAGATTCCCATGTTATGATGGGAATTTTAAATTCCTCGTGCCATTTTGGAGTAAGTGTTTTCTTTTGTATCTTTGACTTGAATCTGTATCCACCCAAATGACCTTTCACATAAGGATCCGCCAATCCTGAAACATACTATAATTTGTTACACACACACATACATATATAATATATATGTCACTATTAGGTGAGAGTGAGTGCATGAGAAGAGTTCATTTTGACCATTCAATTGCACATGGATGGTCCAAATTAGTTTCAAACAAAATCAATCTTGACCATCCATGTATGATTGTATGGTCACGATTAGCTCCTCTCACGCTTTCACTTGATAACCTATATATATTTGTAGAGTACAGGATCCTTTGACACCAAATCTTAACTGTTGATTTCATAAATCTAACGGTTATAATTTATTGAAAATTAATAATTAATTAATAAATATGACCCAATAAATTATAACAATTAAATTGGCGGAAATCAACGGTTAAGAATTGGTGTCAAAGAATCCTGCCCTATATATATATATATATATATATATATATATATATATAATAAGAAAAAAGGATGAAACAAAAATCATCACAGATAAAGGGATAACCATTTAGATCTGATGGCTTCATGTCAGATGCTTCAACAACTTCTACTTTTGCATAAGCAACAGGGTTCTTCTCATCAACAGAGAACCAAGGCTCTATAACATTAAAAATTATGAATGGATGAGTATTTAATAAATGCAAAACAATTATGTAAAGCATAACCTTTGTTATCATATATAAACCCCAGGCTTACAACTAAAAGATATATATAATAGTGATTCTAGAGGATTATGAAAATCTTTACTATAGATATGTGACCAGAGAAGGTTCATGGCTAGAATTTTGATGACAATTATACAGTTTCTCCAGAATCGATTTCTGCAACTGAAATCCTATGACAGACATTTACCTGAATCTGGTGAAATAAATTTCTCAACATCAACAACCAGCATATTGGGCTGCAAAATTTTTATACATATCAATATAATAAAAAGTTCAAAAGCTATAACAGTTTTGAAATATAAGAAACTACAAAAAGATGTGAAGAATTCTCAATAAATTTATATTTTTATCACATTGTTTAACATCTATCAAGAAGCCAAGAATCCAAGACTAGAAAAGTACACAAAAATAACAAGAAGAGAACATCATAAGGAGAACAAACTTCACCTCAACAAGTGTCTGTTCAAAAGCAATAGACAGAAGCTTATCCTGATAAAATAATAAGTTAACACAAATTACTTCCAGCAAGAGCAAATAAAAGAAAGAGAACAAAGAAAATTGCAGAGAAAACAATTATTCTGCATAAAACCAAGTTATACTTACTAGCCACCCAGCAATCCCTGGTAGTTCTGTCACATCAACCCCATGAGTAAAGATAGGTTTGACAGTCATTTGGAAATATGGAGGTTCAACAAAGCATATGCGCAACCGGCCAAGAAAAGGCCATGTCCGGAGAAACTTTACCCCAACCAAGACCTATAGATAAGAACTGAAGAAATAATTAAAATAATAAAATAACAAATAATATTCAAGTTTTATTTTATCTCCTTTTCTCTCCTAACTTCCTAAGAAGATACTTATAGAATCTGCATTTCATATAAGAAATTAGCTTTGAACTATAAAAATCTCATAATGAATTAATCACCGAGGCTTTTCTTAATATAAACTTTAATACTTAAAGGATGGTGGAATATGTGATTAAATAAAAAAAACTTCTTTTTCCACCATCCCATTATCTCTTTATATCTTCTCTTTAATTAGAATTACTAAATTATTTGAAGTTAACTTACAAACTCCACACCACCATCATCCCTCGTCAATACATCACTATCTACTCTTTCTTCAATAGAAATGATAGTTTGTAAGAATCAAACTGCATGTGAAAAATATTTTAGATTTCACTCAAAAAAATTTGGATACATGTGCACATCTCTGTATCCAACCCTAAACCCATTCTTTTATAGAGTAAATAATAGGTAAAGAATTTTAATATTCAACGAATGAGTTACGGTAAAATTGAAAATCGAGTAAATACCCTTTTGGGTCCCTAACAAAAAACACGGTCTCCACTTTAGTCCCTTACAAAAATAAATTAGTCAGTTAGTCCCTAACAAATTCAAAGTGGACCCATTTTAGTCTTTTTGAGGGACTAATATGGGTCTTTTTTGAATTTGTGAGGGACCACGATTTCAACTAAATGGGTCCACTTTGAATTTGTTAGGGACTAACTGACTAATTTATTTTTGTAAGGGACTAAAGTGGGGACCGAGTTTTTTTTTAGGGACCAAAAAGGATATTTACTCTTGAAATTCCATAGCCATACCTTCCCTTCAACATGCATTCCCGTAATGTGCAGCTTTGCCACCATTCCAAATCCCAATCTTTTTCTTAGCTTCACAGCAAGTATTGCACTCATATCATCGGCCGTGAGAAAATTCATTCCTAACTCCAGAACCTGCATTGATTACCATAATATCTAGATCAAATCAGAAAAAAATTCGGTTGCAGATGCTGAACAAGACATTGTCCTGATATGCTGCTTTAAAATATCACATACCAAGTGGTCATCATTACTCTGCCGAAGTACCCTTATTTCAGTAAACAAAGGTGGGTTTCTTCCCAAGTATAGGTGCTGTACAACGGCTTCTTTCTGCAAATATAATAAATAGATATCTATTAATATATACGCAAACACAAGGAACAATTTTTATACTCAAACACAAATACATAAAACTAACCAAAATATAAAAGGGACAAAAAGGAAAAAGTTTCACATCTTTCTTAATCAAAGTCTTGGAGAATATGAAATTCATATCAGATATTAACATTTAAACAACACAATTATCAAGAAAATGGTTGAAACTCAAATTGTCTGATCAAGCAATATAGAGATAAATAGCTGAACAGTATGAGTCATACAGCAGTCCAAGGTTTGTACTTCTCTAAGAACCAAGGTATGATAGGGAGTAAAATCTTCTGAGAAGCAATCTGTTCCATACATATAGGCCATATGTTTTCAACTGCATGGTTCAACCACCGGACTGTTTCAGAATCAGAAAGCACCTGAAGTACAAGAAAGGCCATTATGCATGTTATATCAGTAAATCATCATAACATCACCCTTTTCAATTAGAATACCACATCTCCAGTAATACTTTAAACTTGCAATGATAACATAAGATCGAAGATACTAAAAAAATTGAATATTAATTTACTACTAGGGAGTTTTATAATTTGAATCATTTCTTATTCTCATAGTTTTAGTCCTTTTATCCTTTAATTAAATCATATAAAATTTTATTTTCGTCATCAAATGAAAAACATTGCTTTCAATGACACAAAACATTAATGTTGGACTATCATCTAAGAGAACCTTACTGATAAGTAATAATTCATTCAAAACGCAGCAAGGGGGGTGGTAACATAGATGTGGATTTCAACTTAGCCTCTTCTCTCGGTCAGATTCTGATTCAAGAGTTAAGCGAATGGTTTAACTTCTATGAAAAAATTAATTAAGATATTAGTTTGTTTTACTTCATTAACCACTGTTCATTTACTTGAAACTTATTATTTTCCCCTCAAACTTCAATATCCATAAAATCGAATAAGCATGCTTTAGCAGAATTACCCTTCTCTGATTAGCTTGTTTCCTCTCCTCATGCTGCAACTTCTTCCGCAGCCTCGTAACATAACGCTCGTGAACCTTTCCAAAGGAAAAGATCAAAGTCAGAAATATAATATTCCTCCCCCTTTTTCTCTATCATTAATATAAATACAACAAAACAGATAAAATCCAGACTAAGCATCCAGTTCTAAGTACTAAGAAGTATCCATTTTTTATTTCCTTCCCACATAATCAACCAAACAATCAAAAAGCAAAAACTAAGACCAAAAGGGGAAGCAAAAGCAAATAAAGAATATCCAAAAGTTGCAAATCGCCAGGTACGATCCTCACCAGAAAAAGGTAGATCAGAGCTACAAAATAAACAACCGTGTGGCACCAGTCGAATGCAGAAAGCAACCAGAGCCCCATCAACACGATTCCCACATGATGCAAGATTGAAACTTCCGTTATATCCATCCCTTCAAAAACAAAAACAAAAACAAAACAAAACTGCAAAAACCAACCCCTTTAACTCAAACCAAGACTGCTTCCAATAAAGTTCAAAACTTTATGAACACCCCTTAATCCAAATCCAATCCTCAACACAATACCACACCAAATGCGTGCCCCGAAGAGAACCCCACATTTTATATATTAAAAAAACTGAGTCTTTGGCCTTAACCCCACTTGCCCAAAAGCACTAATTCATTAAATATTCAAATCCAAAAGAAGATATTGCACTGTTGTGACGTGAAAAAGGAAGAATAGGAATTTGGGTCAAAAAAATGAAGAAAATCAATGTTAAAATATTGATAGAGGAAGTGGAGAGGGTATAGTAGGGCGTAACTTTGAAGAAAACAAGTGTGTACCAATTAGGGGTCCAGGGGGTTTGAATTGAATGATTTGGAACAGTGAAACGGTGCCGTAATGGACAAGTAACGGGCCAAGACGAAGGAAGTAACAGATAGAAACAAACGGAACAGTAACCGCTTCGTCAGTTGTTGCAAAGAGCATAGGTAAGAGGGAAGGAACGAGGCATTGTAACTCGTATTTTGTCGATTGGTTGCCACGTGTCAAAACTTTGAACCAATTACAACGTGTCGACTCTCAGATGATTAAACTGCAAGTCACTTATCAAATCACAAAAGTTGCGTATAATGGTTTGCAATAACCGTGTTGTTACATGAATTATATATACAGATAACTTATTCTATTTTATTTTTTTTTGTTTATCTTTCACTATCATCCTCCAATATCGTTAGATTAGAATTTTAAGAAGAGAGAAAAAGATAAATGTTAATCAAGATTCTAATCTAATGGTGTTGAAAAGTGGTAGGCAGGATAAATAATAGGTAAAATAACTTATCTCATATATATAAGAAGGATATGAATTCCCTCACGTGAATTTCCTCATTTTAAATGACATAAAGTTATGTAGAGAAAGATAAACACACAAAAATAAATTTTTTTTAAATTTAAATTAAAAAAAAAAAATAATTCACTTTTTCTCCCATGATTTCCATTCCTTGTGTCTATCTCTCTTAAAATGAGATAACTTATGTCATTTAAAATGACAAACACCAAACCCTTCAAAATTATATATATATTTTTATCTTATTATCAATAAATAAATGTGATTAAATATCCATTTAGGAGATCTAAATCCATATAAGACAAAGTAAAAACTCTTATACCATGAATTGTGTTAACCATTTACGTGTCTAATAAGGACAGTTAAATATAAATAAAATGTATGGTTAAAATTGTAAGTATAATTTATCTCGATATAAAATAGAATTTTTTTTTACCAAAAATATTTATTATTTATCTAATTATCATTAAATCAGAAAGATAGATATAAAAACATTTTTGGTAGAAAATGATAAAAAAAAATGAAAAGAGAAAAAATGATAAAAAAAAAATGATTAGATAGATAATAAGTTGGTAGTGATTTTTAGTAAAAATATTTTTCTCTATATATATACACAAAGATAGATATAAAAACAATAAATTTTATATATAATTTTAATTATTTATCTAGTCATAAATTATGACTTAAATAATTAAAAAATAGTCATTAAATATAAATAAAATTAATGACTGAAGTTAAAAATATAAGTTATATCAATTTATTTATATATATGAATAAATGCATTATTTTTTAAATTAAACAGGTTGTATTTTTTATATATTTAAAAATGAGTTTTAGAAGTTAAAACTCTAAAGAGTGAACACTATCGTACTCAGCATGGTTGTCCATTTTTTTTATCTAATTTGATGGTATATTATATTTATTTAATTTCAAAAAATTAAAAAAGACAGAGAAGAAAAATATATATATTTCTATTCGAATATAACATTTTTTTATACATAAATACAACCTGTTTAATTTAAAAAATAATTTAATTCCAAAACAATGAAAATATAATCTTTTTTTTATAAAAACCATTTAACTAATATTATCATATAAAAATGGAAAGACATCATCCAAATTTTTTCAACCAATATAGCCAAAGATATTGATTTTTAAGAAGGGGTAAAGTGGTAATTATGTATAAAAAAGGGAGGGGTAAAGTGCAAAAAAGTGAAAAAAAAAAAACACATAAAAAGAATGGGTCCCTTTGTATAAAGGAAGGATAGGAAACCGTGGCATAATCGTGGGGAAATGTAAGATGGGTTGTCGCTATCTTCTCTTGTGATGGATAATTTCTGAATGGGTCCCGCTGAATTAATGGTAGATAACGATACCTTTGCAAATAGCCATGCATATGAAGTATGATTATGGAGTGCCCCCCTCCAATGGCCCCTTTTAACATATCAACAGTTCAACACGATTACAAGAACACCGGCACATCACGTGCAAATCCCTTTTAAGTTTTAACACTCAGATAAGGGACTTAGCTATAAATAAATTTCATTTTATTGATTAATAATTTTTTTAGCTGTTGGTTGAGTTTCCTTAGTAATGATAGAAGTTAGTTAGAACGTGGTGTAATTGTAATTGGTATACATGAGGACATGAGGACATGAGGTAATAAATCATTAAAAAAAAATTATCTCAATTTTCACGTTATTCTTTTTAATATAAGAAGGAAGATGAAATATAAATAAAACTAACTAACCAATGTTGGGAGACTGACATCATTCCTTAGCAACTCCAAGCTAGGATGCACTGACACTGATACGGAACGTGACATGACACATCGACACGTTAATTCTGAAAAATATCATATTTTAACACGTTTGATATTAAATAATATTTTTAATATATATAATACATATAACAGCCCATAATAAGTCATATAACCAATAAAATATTCAAATTTTATAATATAAATATAAAAACAAATTCATATCTTATTAATTTTTCATGTCAAATTTTATAACAAAAAAATTGATTTTAAAATTATTTTTATGTTTAGTTAATAAAATAAAATTTAGGCTATCAAAAAATAAATAAAATAAAATTTAGACTTTAAAAAAAAACGTGTCGGATGCGTGTCGGAAGGTTGACTGCATGTCGAAAAAACGTGTCGTAACATTGACCGTGTGTCCTAAAATGTTGACCGCATGTCGAACGCGGGTCGGAACATGTCGGAGCGTTTCCATGTCCGACACGCATCTTTTCAAAAAAATTGTGTGTCGGTGCTATGGAGAATCCAAGCATCCTTGTGGGAGAATATTTATTATGTGGAATACCATTTTTTAGGTGGTACTTTAGTGTAAATGAAAGGATAAAATTAGAAAAGAGAGCACATAATAGATAAAAAGAAAAAGAAAAAATTGGTGTTATGAGAGAAAACATCAAATTATTAGATGATCCTGGATCATAGAAAATATTTCCTCTTGTGTGAGGGGGGGGGGAAGCAAACACTTGAATATCTCAATTCTCTCCCTATGTGTATGGGATATTTATGTGTACGGGATATAAAATTGTTTGTTTAGGATAGTCCTAATGCGACATAGAGAGAAGGCATATGATGACTGTAAACTCAATTGTTCAGTATTGTTTTGCTTTTTAATTTATTTGTGTTTTAATTCGTGATCGTGTTACTTGAAGTATTAATATATTGTTTACTAGAAACATTATAGTTAAAAAATATAAACAAATAATAATTAATGTATTTTCTTAATTAATTTCGCATTTGTCTTCTAATTTACATTATATAATTGTAGATCATTGGTCTTTTCTAGGTTAATTATAATTGAAGAATTAAATACTGTACAGGGCCTTTAAAGCTATGAATGTCAGGAATATTTTGCTGCTGGGAAAATGTGAGAAAACTTTTTGTAATCACTAAAGTTAAGTTCAGTACATTCGTAATCTATTTATATTAAAATATGTAGATGGATTTTAGGTGTTTAGAAATTCGCAAAAATTTGACCTACATATCAAGACTTTGACCAATTTGAATAATAATTTATCGATATGTCACGCCCCATTTCGAATTTCCTAAAATGACACGTTCAATTCTGCTACACCACCAAGCGAGACTGTAAGATGACACGTGGCGATCAAACATGGAGCCACATTCCTACTGGTCTGACAAGCTGGAATTGCTTGTCAATCAACCAGTCTGCACACTCTGAAAAGCAAGACACATGTCTCCCTCGCACCATTCGCGCTGGTCAGTCTAGCTGGATTAGTTGTACGTTCTGCAAAGCAGGCCACATGTCAGCCTACCACCATTCGCGCTGGTCAACCAAGCAAGATTGGGTGTACCCTCAGACACGTGTCAGCACCCCCTGAATCGTGCTGGGCTGCCTAGCTGGTTTGGGTCGTACTTTCCCAACACATGTCAACACCCCCTTATTCACGCTGGGCTCTCTACCAAGTTTGGTTCTTCTATAAATAGTAGCAAAACATGAACATTCCAGCAACCAGAAGAAGTAAAAAAAGGTGCGCCAAAATTGCGAAGGTTAGATTCTGTAATCATTTATTTTCTCTTGTAATTTTATGTTATTAGTTAGAAAATGAGTGACAATAATGATTCAGTAATTGCTTTGTTATATTACAATGGAAGAAAATATTTGGGTCCAAATGGCCAAGTTTTCGAAGGAGAAACGAAAATATTTCGTATGAGCCCGCGGTGTAGTTTTAATGAACTAAAGAAGACAATATATCAGAAGCTGAGATTACAACGAGACCAAGTTTTATCTCGGTTGACTGCTAGATGTGCCTCGGGACCTGAAAGTTGGGTTCCTGTAGAGATCGTTGAGGATGAAGATGTTGCCTTAGTGGTAGATGCATTTCGAAATCATTCACACTCCACATTTATTAAACTATACGTGGAAGTAGACTCCGGTGGACAGTGTAGCAGTCAACATTTTCTCCCTTCTACTCACTCTATCAACATTAATATGGAGCCGGTTATGAGTCCTCAATATTCTCTCCCTTCAATTAACGTTATTCACATTAACATAGAGCCAGTTGTGAGTCCTGAAGAAAGAAATGTGTCACCCGAACCACCCCTTCCCAAAGCAATGTGTGCAGAATATGATGTTGCTCACGATATGTTTGATCCGGCATGGCGTGCTGACAGTTCCAACGAAGAGGTGGACGAAGGGTTAGTCCCGGGAAGTGACTCCTCGGACACCAACGTGGATGAAGATTTTGATTCATGTCCGTCCACCGCTGCGTGTTATGCGGTTCCTTCTCCGGGTATTGTTGGAACGCACGAGCCCAGAGTGGCAGGTTAGTAAATATAAAAAAAATTGTGCTTATACATACTTGCATGTTGATTCGTATACATTATTAATGTACTGCTGATACAGGTGAAGGACAGACACCATTTTGGTCTCAAATAAGTCATTATAGGCGT